ATCACCATCATCATCATCATCATCATCATCATCATCATCATCATCAGCACCATCATCATCATCATCATCAGCAGCAGCATCATCAGCATCATTATCATCATCCTCGTCATCATCATCATCAGCAGCAGCATCATGATATGTATCAGAATCATCGTCACCACCATCAACAACAACATCTACAACAAAATCATCATCATCATCATCATCATCGTCATTGTCATCGTCATCAGCATCGTCATCAGCATCATCATCATGAGCAGCGTCATCATCGTCATCAGCACCATCATCATGCCCATCATCATATCACTACCACCATCATCGCAATCATCATCAACATCAGTATCATGCTCATCATCACCATCGTCGTCGCCATCAACATCATCATCATCATCATCATCAGCAGCAGCATCATCGTTATCAGTATCATCATCATCGTCATCGACATCGCCACCATCAGCATCGTCATCATCTGCATCAACATCAGAATGATCATCATCACCATCATCATCATGGTCAGTATCATCATCATCATCATCATCATCATCATCATCATCATCGTCATAATCATCATCCTCATCATCACCATCACCATCATCATCACCATCATCATCATCATCATCATCATCATCATCATCATCATCGTCATAACCATCATCGATCAGGCTCGACGAGCGGGGAGGAGCGAAGAGGAGGAGGAGGAGGAGGAGGAGGAGGAGTAAGAGCGAGGAGCAAGGAGGAGGGGGAGGAGGAGGAGGAGGAGGAGGAGGAGGAGGAGGAGGAGGAGCAGGAGGAGGAGGAGGAGGGCTGAGGAGAAGGAGGACGAGGAGGAGGAGGAGGAGGAGGAGGAGGGGGCCAGCGTCACAATGAGGTCGATTGCTCCTTAACGCCCTGGGCGAGCCGCTGCCGCACCTTGACGGGCGCGGGCGAAGGCTGGGGCGGCGCGCCGGCCGCGCGGGAGGTCTGTAGCCGCCCGAGCGGCTCGGGCACACTCGAAACCCTGCCGGTCGGAAACCGCCCCGTCAGGCCCGCGCTTCCGGACCTGATGCAAGTGCCGATGAAGGCGGAAACGCATCACCAGAAGACGAGCCGCGTCCGTGCATTGGCCAACGAGGGCTAGCCGGGCAAGCATGTCCGCGGGAACAGGACGTCCTGAGACCCGGACCAGGAGCTCGTCAAATCTGGGGCAGACGATGTAGTGGGAGAGTGAGTCGAGGGCTCCACCACAGCCGAGGAGACACCCGTGTTGGGGGTTCCTTAGCCTAGTGTCTGTGACCCACCCCCCAGTCCACGTCTTGAAGAGAGCCCAGCGCCATGCAGGGGGGAGGGAAGCGAGGAAGGAGCGAAGCGAATCAAGGTCGAGAGGGACGAGGGAGGCCGGGGGAATGGCAAACCATATCTCCAGGCGCTTGCGCACCCTCGCAGCCAGGCCCGAGCGTCGATCGGGCAGCGCGAGGGCGCGCATCAGCGCGGCCTGAAGACGGGGCCGCCTCCCCTCACAGCGCCGCGCCTCGGCTTCCAGCGACGCGACCCTCAGGGCAGTCTCCGAGCCCAGCAGCGTCGCCGCCTCCTCCAGGAGCATGGCAAGGGGCCTCGCTTCCCAGAAGCCCGGCCACGCGAGCCCTCGGCCGAGGGCCTCGAGCGAAAGGCACCGCGCTGCCGTCTCGCGGAGGGCCCGCGCCATCGCGCGCCATGTCACCAAGGTCTGCGTGGCGGTGCGCACGCGGGCCGCTGCGCAGAGGTCCCCAAGGAGGTGCATCGGGGTCAAAGCGAGCAGGTCCAGGGCCGAGAAATCCAAGAGTCCGAGCCAGCTGCCCGGCGCCCGCAGCAGCCGACAAAGCACGTGGTGCTCTGCCTTGGGCAGGCGCTTCGGCAGCGGGATGAGCTGCGCCTTGTACGAGGCGACCGCCAGGGCCCTCTCGTGGAAGACCTGCACCGCCGTCTGTGCATCGTAGGGGGCAGCGGCAATCTGCCCGGCGCGCCATTCCCACTTCTCCAGCGTTGGCGCCCACTGGAGGTCCGTCGACGCTGCTGGGCCCAGGAGGACCCCGAGCGCCTTCGCCATCGGGGCGATGCGGAAGAGCCGCCACCGCTCGGAGACGGAGCCGAGGATCTGGCGCGCTTCCTCCTCCACCTCCGCCGAGAGGGGTGCCCAGAGGGGCACGCAGACGCACTTCTCCTCCTTCAAGACCAGGTTGGCGAGCAGCGCCGAGGCCTTCATGATCCTCCCGACCACGCGAAGTCCGACCAGCTGGAGCGTGACCGCGAGGAGGTCGTCCGCGCACCAGCGGCCGATGCCACGGCGCCGCCCCTCCAAGTGCTTGGCCATGTCCTGGCAGAACGGGTGCTCTCCAGCCGCGTACAGGGATCCCGAAGCAGGGTCACCTTGCAGCACCCCGCTGCGCACACGGAAGAGCTCCTCGCGCGTCGGCCCGGAGTCCAGGGCACGGACCTCTCTGTATTGCATCTGGAGCCCATTCAGCAGGGGCTGCGGGATCTCCCACTCCTCCAGCACCCACCACAGCCAATCCTGGAAGACCGAGGGGAAGGCGCGCGAGTAATCGTAGCTGCACAGAAACGGCCGAGGCGGACCCAGCCCTCGCAGTTCCGCAGGGTCCAGCTTCAGCCACTCGGTCGAGGACGGGTTGAGGAGCACGTCCCCGACTCCAGGGCGCAGGCCGGAGCCGCCGCCGGCGGGCGCGCCGCCCTTGCAGGCGCCCGGGCCGCCGGCGCGCTGACGCCACAGCCCGCGGCCGGTGGAGATTTTGGCCTGGATCGGGCGCCCGCGCCGCCCGCGCCGCATCCCGCGGCCGCTGGAGATTCTGGCCTGGATCGGGCGCCGGCGCCGCCCGCGCCGCTGCCCGCGGCCGGTGGAGATTTTGGCCTGGATCGGGCGCCGGCGCTGGGCGCTGCTGAGGCGTACGTTAAGGAATCGTTAAGGTACGCCTGGGCCGAGGCCGCGCCGGGAACCGCCGGGGGACGCCCGGACCCCCGCGGCGAATTCTGAGCGCTCCAGCCTGCGCGCTCAGAATTCCCGGGCGCACGGCGGCGCGGGGCGCTCCCGCTCGGCGCGGGTGGCGGCGGCGGCCGCCAGGGCGCCGGCGGCGGTCCGGACCGGGCGCGTGGCCCAGCGGCAGCGGCCATCATCCCCGCCATCCTCGCGAAGGCGTCGTCCTCGACCAAGTTTTCGCAGAAGTTGCGGCCCGTCAGGAAGCCTCGTTGTGTCCAGCACACAGACGCCGCCACTGCACGCTTCAGCTTGGCGTTCAGGGCCCAGGAGATGATCTTGGCCCCCGAGTTCCGGGGCGAAAGCGGCCGCGTGTCCTCAGCCCCACGAGAAACAGGCTGTCCGATGACGTCGTCCGGCTCGTCGCCCTTCGGCGGACAGATCAAGATGGAGTCGTTGAAGGCGATCCCCAGCGGCAGCCCGTCCATCTGCCAGCGCATGGCCGCCGCGAGGGCGTCCGCCAGCGCGGGGCGGGCACCCCATGCCCTGGCAGGGAGCCCGTCGACCCCGGGGGCCGAGGCGCGGGCCGAGGCGACGCCCCTGGCGATGTCCTGCTTGGTGGGCGGCCCCAGGGCCTCCCAGTCATAGCGCTGGAGGCCGTGACACTGAATGTATTGCCGACCGATCCGCTCGCGCCACTGCTTGCGCCCAGGCGTCTGCGGCTCGGGATCGAAGACCGCGCCCCCATGGGAGGCGAGGGCGGCCGCCTTGTCCAGCGGGGCGGTCACCGCGCCACGCTGCGTCTTGACCGCACCCAGGCAGCGCCGCGCCGAGAAGGGCAACCAGAGCTCCGCCCGACGCCGCAGGGCCCGCTGCTGCCCGCGCAGGCGCATGAGCTCACTCTTCGCTCGCCTGGCTTGGTCCTCGCTCTCAGGGCCAGGAGGGGGGCACCCCTGGGCCGCCGCCACGTCCGCCTCGGCCTCGCGGCCCCGCTGCGCCATGAAGCGGCGTTGGGCGAGGGCGTGCCTTCGGTGGAACTCGTCGGGCCGCTTCATGACGACCGTGCGTCGCGTGGCGTCGACGTCCAGGAACTCCTGCGCCCACGGGTGGCGGCGGCAGAGGAGGTCAGCAAGCCTCCATTCCTCCCGCCAGCAAGCCCGCGCCATCTGCCGCCAGATCGTCGCCGTCGAGCGCCGGGTCCACGACATCGTCCTCAACTCCTCATTATGCACCTCCTTCGCCGCCGCCTGCAGGAGCCTCGTGGAGACCAGTAGCCGCTCCGGAGCAGGAAGTCGCTCGAGCGGGAGGGCCGCGACGTAGAGGCCCACCAGCTCCCGGTACCGCGGGAGCTTGCAGATGTAGTCGGGGATCGGCGCCGGCCGATCGGGGTCCCGGCGCGCCGGCGGGTGGCGCGACCACGCGAGGGTCAGCAGCGTGTGGTCGCTGAGCCCACTGCAGTGGAGCTCCCTCGGGTCGCCGCCGTTGGAGAGCTGCATCCACGTCTGGCATTGCAGCCACTGCGGGGCGCCCACGTAGATCCTGTCGATGGAGCTGTAGGTCCCGCGATTCTGAGCCCAGTGGGTCGGCTCCGCAGGCTGCAGCTCCGTGTAGCCGCGCAGCCCCGCGCGCCAGTGCCGAGGTGGGCGAGGCCCGTGCTCCTCCCTGCGACCAGCAGCCTGCGCCTCCTCAGGATCGGCAGGAAGGGCCCGGAAGTTGAAACCGCCCATCACGAGGATGGATCGTTGACGCGGGGCGAGGCCCGCCCAAAGCAGATCCTCCTGAAGCCGGTCGGCAACGTACTTCTGCTGGGAGGCCTGCAAATCAAAATTGTGAATGTTCCACACGATGAGGTCGCACGAGTGCGGGATCAGAGTCGCCTTCACCCTTAGCACTCTCCCCCGGACCACCATCCTGGGCTCGAAGTTCACCATCTCAGCACTCGTGTACGGGAACACAGTGACAACCCCACCCAAGTCGTTCTGGCCGAACGACGCAAAACTGCGGCATCGATATCCAACCAACCGCAGCTGGTCAGCGAGCCTCGCTGTAGAGCCATGCGTTTCCTGCAAGCACACCACGCCCTTGCCCTGCCACCGCTGCTGGAGGTAGGCCGCCCGATTGGCCGCAGTCGGCGGGTCGTGGTGCATGAGGGCGCGGGTGTTCCAGGTGGAGGCGCGGAAGACCTCCTGCGGCCCCCCCCAAAGCTTCCCGAAGTGGTCTAATGCACCACCCACCGTCGTCGGGCGTGAAAGCAGCGCGAGCGGCTTCAGCAAGAACGCGACGGTCCAGCCCCAGAGCCTGCACGTTGTGGTCCTTCCACAGGACGCGTGGCACGGATGCGGGCCCGTCGATCTGGACCTTGACGAACTGGCGCCAGTTCTTACTAAGGGCGGCCTCCGACTTGTCCAGGAAGACGCGACCGCCCCCCAAATGCGGGAGGAGGGCGACCTTGAATTTCTTGAGGGCGAGTTCGTGGGTGATCTGCGAACGATTCTTGTCGGGCCCGATGGACACCTCGACGGGCTCGCCGCCAGGTGTGCGGCAGGCGAGGCGGCGCCAGTCCGAGGGCCCGATCCGCATGGCCCCAAGAACTTTGTTGGCCCTCCGCGACGCGAGGCCCGTGTCGCCCTTGAAGCGGAGCACGAACCGCTGCGCCAGAGCCTCACCCTCCAGGTCCACGGAGTCGGATGTGGCCGCCACCTGGGCGTCAGCCAGTAGCGGGCCCAGCATGCCCATGACTGCCTCCTTTGCCACCGCTGCCCTGGCGTTGAGGACCAGGACGCACGGGTCAGGAGTCCTCGACCATGCTGGTCCAGGAGGGAGCGGTGCAGGCTCCGTAGACTGGACGACCCCGAGCTCACGGCGCAGCTCATCCATCTCTTGGCGAAGCTGGGCAACGTCGTCCTGCACGTTGGCCACCTTCGCCTCCACGGCGCCCATGCGGCCCTCGACCGCTGTGCGAAACTCCGCCAAGCCCTTCGTGAGGGAGCGCGAGGTGGACTGCAAGGTCGCCTGGAGCCGCGTCTCGATGTCCAGCAGCTCCGTGTGCAACGGGTCCGCGCCGCCTCCACCGCCTCCTCCACCTCCAGCGGGGGCTGGGCGTACCGGTCCTCCGCCCCCGGGTGCGCCGGCTGGCTGGATGCCCGCGCGGGCGGGCGGGGCGCCGAGACCGTCTCCACCGCCAGGTCCGAACCTTTGAGCCGCGGCTGCAGCCCAGGCGTCGGGTGGGGGCAGGCCGTCAGCCGCAGTTGCTCCGCCACCAGCTGGGTCTGAGCGGGCCGCGCGCCCCTGGTCAGGCTGAGATGGGAAGGTGGGCATGGCTTCCAATGCCAACAGCTGCTCCGCCGAGAGGGCAGGGCGACCAGCCACAGCATCAGGGCCCCCAGCGCGCCCAGCTGACGCCCGACCGCCGCCCTGCTGGCGGTCGCGCGGACGCTCGTCCCAGCCTGTGTCACGATTGGCCCGACCAGCCTGCCGCTTCTGCCGCCAGCGCGCGTCACGGCGCCGCTGCTCACTGCGGGAGGTGCTGCGAGGGTCGGACGACCCCGACTCACTGGAGGCCGCGCCAGACATCCGGCCGTCAGCAGGAGCGGCAGCCGCCGCGTCAGCGCCCGAGGCGAGGGAGGCCATCGCGGCAGGTGTGGTAGGGGCGACGTCTTCAAGCAGAGTGAGAGAAGAAGGTGGCCACCTGATGGCCAAGGGCTCGGCGCTCGAGCTCGTGCTGCGGGGCTCTCGGCCCCCTTAGAGCCCGATCGGGTTCTAAAAGAGCCTTGAGCCAAAATGGCTACGGAGGAGGAGGAGGAGGAGGAGGAGGAGCAGGGGGAGGCGGGGGAGGAGGAGCAGGGTGAGGTGTAGGAGGAGGGGGAGGAGAAGGAGGAGGAGGGAGGAGGAAACGAGGAGGAGGAGGAGAACGGGGGGGTGGAGGAGGAGGTGGAGGAGGAGGGGAGGAGGAGGACGAGGAGGAGGAGGAGGAGGAGGAGGAGCAGGAAGAGGAGGAGGAGGAGGAGGAGGCGGAGGAGGAGGAGGAGAAGAGGGAGGAGGAGGAGGAGGAAGAGGAGGAGGAGGGAGGAGGAAGAGGAGGAGGGGGAGGAGAGGAGGAGGAGGAGCAGGGTGAGGTGCAGGAGAAGGAGGAGGAGGAGGAGCGAAGAGGAGGAGGAGGAGGAGAAGGAGAAAGAGGCAGCTCCCACCCCAACCCGGGGAGACTTCTCTCAGAGAGGGCGCATGGCGGCCAGGGGAAAGACGGCTCGAGCCTGCTGGACCAACGGCGGCGCGGGCGCGGGGACCGGGGATGCGAGGCTGCGAGGATCGGGGAGGGCCGGCAGGGGGTTCGAGGATCGCGGAGATCGAAGATCCAGACGACGATCGAGGATGATGGGGGGATGCCAGGCGAGGATCGAGGGGGTGCGAGGCGAGGATCGAGCAGGAGTTGGGATTGGGCTTCTTCTGGCGCGCTGTCCCCTTGGGGCCCTCCGTGGTTCCCGGGGGCCTCTGGAATCGGGGGTCCCGAAACGGTGCGGTGACAGACCGTGCGATGGCCTCAGCATCCCCACGACCTCACCGCACGGTCCGTCACCGCACGGTCGTGAAACCTTGCAGGCCCCAGTCACCCGAGTCATCCTCGGAGAACGACCCAAGTCCCAAAACCGTGAAGTCACCCCAAATCCCCACTGACTTACCGCCCGGCTTGGTCCCCGCACAGTTTGGGGGGCCCTCAACGGAAGCATCTGGAACTCTGGAGAGAGACCTTCGTGGGGACCTCTGGGGGCCAGGAAGAAGGCCATGGCCAACGCTGGAGCGGCCCGCGGGCGGAACGAGGACCCCGAGCACCCGACGTCGTGACCAAAGGCACGGCACATTCGACCGGGGCCCAGATCTTCAGGCTTTCGGCTAGAAGCTGGGTCGGATCGGGCCGTCAAGGTCGTGGGGCCCGAACTTGGCAGAACACCGCGCCCAGAAGCGATGGGAGGGCAGAGGCGGGTGACGACGACGACGCCGACGACGACGACGCCGAGAAAGACGACGAAGAGGACGACGACGAAGACGCCGCCGCCGCCGCCGCCGCCGACGACGACGACGACGACGACGGTGGCGACGGCGGCCACGAGGACGACGACGACGACGACGACGACGACGACGACGACGACGACGACGACGACGACGACGACTGCTACTACTGCTACTACTACTACTACTACTACTACTACTACTGCTACTGCTACTGCTACTACTACTACTACTACTACTACTACTACTACTACTACTACTACTACTACTACTACTACTACTACTACTACTACTACTACTACTACTACTACTACTACTACTACTACTACTACTACTACTACTACTACTACTACAGCGATGGCGACGGCGACGGCGATGGCGACGGCGAGGGCGAGGGCGAGGGCGACGGCTACGGCGAGGGCGAGGGCGCGGCCGACGACGACGGCGACGGCGACAACGAGGACGACAACGACGACGACGGCGACGGCGACGGCCACGGCGACGGCCACGGCGACGGCCACGGCGGCGGCGACGGACGCGGCAACGACGGCGTCGGCGACAACGGCGGCGGCGGCAGCGGAGCGGTGGCGGGGCGTCGGAGGCGGGGGCGACGACGAAGCCGACGCCGACGCCGACGCTGACGCCGACGCCGACGCCGACGCCGACGCCGCCGCCGACGCCGCCGCCGCCGCCACCAACGACGACGACGACGACGACGACGACGACGACGACGACGACGACGACGACGACGACGACGGCGACGACGGCGACGCAGGCGGCGGCGGCGGTAGCCTCTGCGGGTCTCCTGAGGTCTCTGGGGGATCTGCGGAGGCCTCCGGGGGCCCGTCCAGGCCCCAGGAGGGCCGAAAGCGCCAGCGAAAAGTATTGGTCCTCGAACCTCCATGCTCGACGAGATAGGCAGCAACGCCACCATGTCACTCAAAACTCCCTCAAAACTGGCCCCTCGGTCCATCCCAGGGTCCATGCTGGCCAGCATTTCTGCGCCCAGCCGTGGCAACGAGAGCCCCCAGAGCACGCCGAGGAAGTCAGCGACGAAGCCGACGCCGACAACGAGGCCGACGACGACACCCACGACGACGACGACGACGACGACGACGACGACGACGACGACGACGACGACGACGACGACGGCGGTGGCCTGTGTCTCCAGAGATCCCCAGGTCCCTGGTGGTCTCCAAAGCCCCAAGGCCCCAAGAGGTCCACAAGGCCCGGAAGCCCCCAAGACAGCTCTCGATCGACCCTCGATCGACCCTCGATCGACCCTCGATCGACCCTCGATCGACCCTCTCGATCCCTCGCCAGTCGACCCTCGCTGACGCCGACGTCGACGGCGACGGCGGCGGCGCCGCGGCGGCGTCGCGGCGGCGGCAGCGACGAAGATGCTCGAGCGGCTGCGTTCAGCACAAGCGCGCCCCGAGCGGCGAGGCCCCGGCGCTCTGCTCAGCGCGGGCGGGCCGCCGCCGCTCGCCTTCGCGCGGCGGCGTCGCCGTCGGTCGGCAACGGCGTCGGCGTCGTCGTCGTCGTCGCCGTCGCCGTCGGCGTCGCCGTCGCCGTCGTCGGCGTCGACGTCGTTGTCGGCGTTGCCGTCGGCGTCTTAGCCGTCGCCGCCATCGCGTCGTCGGAGCAAGTCGTTGGACATGCTGGGCCCCCCGCCTCCGCAGGGCGAGCTTCCCAGGACCTACAGGGCAGTTTTTCATACATGATGTTTTTGATACATGTATGCATGAACTCATCGTTGTGTTTAGTACTAGATCCCTGCGTTTTTAATTCATGATCCGCACGCGGAGCATGCATTAAAAACGGCACTGTAGAGACAACCAGAGACCTCCAGGCAGGGCTCGAGCATGCATCGAGGCTCGCAGCTCGGAGGCACCCAGGGCGTCCTGTCGGGGCCATCGTGGGCATCCGGCACCTTGGCGCTCGTCGCCACGGCTGGAGTCACCGCGAAATCCTGGCCACAATGCGCTCCAGGGCACGTCAGGGGGTCGACGTCACCTCGTCGAATTCCGCCGGCCCCCTTGTGGGGCCACCAGGCTGCGAGGCACGTGATTCGCAGTTTCCTGTACCAGTTGTAGTTTGTAGTTTCCAGTGTTACAGTTCTGCTTCTTGCTGGTTACTGTAACTAGTTGATTGACCGCGCGAGGAGGGGGGAGGCCCAAACAAAATTTTTTAGCGTCCCCTGGGCGCGTTGTCTGAATTGCCGGGGGGGGCTCGAAATCGACACCCCTCACGCAGATCCGCGGGGTCAGGGTCCAAAAACACAGGGGATTTGCCACATTTCTGAAATTCGGTGCCACCCCTCACGCAGATCCGCGGGGTCAGGGTCCAAAAACACAGGGGATTTGCCACATTTCTGAAATTCGGTGCCACCCCTCACGCAGATCCGCGGGGTCAGGGTCCAAAAACACAGGGGATTTGCCACATTTCTGAAATTCGGTGCCACCCCTCACGCAGATCCGCGGGGTCAGGGTCCAAAAACACAGGGATTTGCCACATTTCTGAAATTCGGTGCCACCCCTCACGCAGATCCGCGGGGTCAGGGTCCAAAAACACAAGGGATTTGCCACATTTCTGAAATTCGGTGCCACCCCTCACGCAGATCCGCGGGGTCAGGGTCCAAAAACACAGGGATTTGCCACATTTCTGAAATTCGGTGCCACCCCTCACGCAGATCCGCGGGGTCAGGGTCCAAAAACACAGGGATTTGCCACATTTCTGAAATTCGGTGCCACCCCTCACGCAGATCCGCGGGGTCAGGGTCCAAAAACACAAGGGATTTGCCACATTTCTGAAATTCGGTGCCACCCCTCACGCAGATCCGCGGGGTCAGGGTCCAAAAACACAGGGATTTGCCACATTTCTGAAATTCGGTGCCACCCCTCACGCACATCCATCGCAAGGCGTGGTAACCCAAACTGCGAGTACTCCCTCGGCCCTTTAATCCCAAGGTGTGGTAACCAAGCTCGTAAACCATACACGTCTTACCAATCGCCCTGTGTGGTAGCCCCTCTTGTGATCAGTTGGTTTTGCCGATTGCGAATCGGCCTCGCATGAAGTTCCGATACTGCTGCACGACAGCGCCAAAGCCTCATGATTTAGCTCTTCCATGGCCCGTTCTCCGAGAGAGGGGGCCGGCGGCAGGGGGCGAAGCCCTTACGGATAAAAAACAAAGGACTGGTGCTGCTCCTCCTCCTCCTCCTCCTCCTCCTCCTCCTCCTCCTCCTCCTCCTCCTCCTCCTCATCATCATCATCATCATCAGCAGCAGCAGCAGCAGCAGCATCATCATCATCATCATCATCATCATCATCATCATCATCATCATCATCATCATCATCATCATCATCATCATCTCCTCCTCATCTCCTCCTCCTCCTCCTCCTCCTCCCAAGGTCCTTCTCCGCCTCCTCCTCCTCCTCATCCTCCTCCTCTCCATCATCATCAGCAGCATCATCATCATCAGCAGCAGCATCATCAGCATCAGCATCAGTAGCAGCATCATCATCATCAGCAGCAGCATGAGCATCAACAGCATCATCATCATCATCATCAGCAGCAGCATCATCATCATAATCATCAGCATCATCGTCATCATCCGCAGCATCATCATCATCAGCAGCAGCATCATCATCCGCAGCAGCATCATCATCATCATCGTCAGCAGCAACATGATCATCAGCAAGATATAATGCTACTCAGCTGCATCATCATCGCCACCACCACCATCATCATCACCACCATCACCATGCTCATCCCTATATCACTACACCATCATCGCCATCATCATCATCAGCATTAACAACATCATCATCATCATCATCATCATCATCATCATCATCATCATCATCATCATCAGCATCAGCATCATCATCATCATCATCCTCATCCGCAGCAGCATCATCATCCTCATCGTCAGCAGCATCATCATCCTCATCATCAACAAGATCATCATAATATTCAGCAGCATCATCACCACCATCACCACCATCATCATCAGCATCATCTTCATCAATATCGGCATCATCATCAACAGCAGCATCATCCTCACCATCAACAACAGCATCCTCAACATCAGCATCATCATCAGCATCATTATCATCATCAGTATCATCATCATCACCATCATCATCATCATCATCATCATCATCATCATCATCATTATCATCATCATCGTCATCATCATCGTTCGCATCGTCATCATCATCTCCATCCACCTCCTCATGCAACCCCCTCTCCAGATCCTCCTCCTCCTCCTCCTCCTCCTCCCCCCCCCGTCCTCCTCCTTCCCCTAGCCTCCTCCTGCTCCTCCCTCTCCAGATCCTGGTACTCCATCTCCTCCTCCTCCTCATCATCATCATCATCATCATCATCATTACCATCATCATCAGCATCATCATCAGTATCAGCATCATCATCATCATCATCATCATCATCATCATCATCATCATCATCATCATCCCCCTCCTCTTCCTCCACCTCCTACTCCTCATCATCTTCTTTTCTGTCAGCACAGCCTAGAAGCACCTGTTGCGCTGGAAGATGAATGCGGTCACAATGGTGAATCTAAAATCTCCTGCGCTTGGTACGCGAATCTGACTGAATCAGCCGTCTGGCACTTGACTCACATCCCTTCAAAGCAGGAGCCTCCGCAAAGAAAGACGAAACAGGACTATCCACGTAGGTCCCGCCCATAGCGCGAAATGTTGTCGTAGAAACACCATCCCTCTCCACGCACGCCTCCACGATGTTATGCTGCAGCAGAACACCTACCTATCCACGTCGCACCATCGGATTGGCAAATGATGTTGCAACTTTCGGCGGGGATATCCTGAAACTGGCGTGTCCACATGCCTCTAAGTCCATGGTGGCGTTGACAAGGTTATCCGTTATTTGATTATATCCTCCTCCACCTCTTATTCCTCCTCCTTTTCCTCCTGCTTCGCCACCGCCTCCGTTCCAGATCTCCTCCTTCTCCCCAATCCGCTGCCTCATCCTCCCTCCTCCGCCTCTTCTTCCTCGTCCTCGGCCTCCCTCCTCTGCCTCCTCCTCCTCCTCGTCCTCAAACTCATACTCCTCCTCGAGCTCATATTGCACCTCATCGTTGTGTTGCGTATCCTCCTCCTCCTCCTCTTCTTCCTCCTCCTCCCTCCACCCTCCTCGTCCGCCTCCCGCTCCAGGGGGGAATGGCTTCTTCACCACATAAAACAGCAAGCCCGGATAAGGCAGCCAAAGATCGGACACCGCGGGGAGCGCGACGACGAGCCGGTCACACGACGACCTGGTCGGACTCCCGCCCGCGCGCCGCCGCCCCTGCCTCAGCGAGGAATCGCGATATCATCGTGAACGCGGCCTCCGGCTGATATTCTGGCACCATGTGACCCGCCAGGCGAATCGTCTGGAACTCGAACGTCTGCTCGGAGCCTGGGACCGAATACGTCGTGAGGTACCCTGCCGGAGTCCTGGCGCTGCCCGCAAACCAGGGCCTCCACGGCTGCGCCTCCGACAGCGCTCCCGCGGCCTCGAGGTCGCCGATCCACTCCTCGTTCCCGTTGTACGGCACACAGGCATCGGCGTCACCGTTGTAGATCAAGACCCTGATCTTCTTGATGATTTCGGGGTAAAGTGTGACCGATAAGGGGTCGAAGGGTTCGTATCCGAAGCTCGAGGCTCCTGGCTCCACCGAGTCCAGGTGCAACGCCCTCCGGACATCGGCCCGAACCAACCAATCGGATATGCCAGCGATGCTGTGGCACGCATACGGATAACCACCACCCAAGTCCATGAGCTTCCTGTGCGTGCCAACTGGATCACCCAAGCCAGCCCTGAGTTCTGCTACAAGCCATGACATATCTTTGCCTGTCTGCAACAGGAAATCCGCTGTCGCTGGACAATTGTCGTAGATGTTGTACACGTTGTATGGTCCCACCTGGCGAGCCATCTCGGCCATTGCCGAGCGACATTCCTCAGACGGCGTTGTTGTAGAAGGAAACTGGCAGGCATTCATGATCGTCTTGTAAAGTGTCGGTGAAAACAACCCCTTCCCAAAAAACAAATCAACGTCGTTCTTCGATCGGTTTGGTCCGTTGCACTGCTCGCCCCAGCAGCCGTTGCCAACCGCCATACCTTTCAAGTTCAAGGTCGCATTGAAGGGCGCGTTGTTGATAATAAACTTCACGATGTTCGGACCATACTGGCCAAAATAGGATTCTCCTGTTATGTAGAGATCGTTTTTGGAAAGCTCTGGAAAACTCTGAAAAAAAGCCTGAAGAGTATGAGCATAAGCTTCTGCCTGAGTCGTGTCATTCCACTTGCAATCGACGGCCTTGCCAGCTCTGATGCACTGAGAGTACCCCTGATCAGAACCACTACCGGCAGGAGATTCTAGATAGAGCATGTTGGCTACTCGGTTCCAGGCCCACGGGTTTGTGTATGTGCCGTTCATCGCAACCTGAAAGAATCCCATTTCCAAATAAGCCCCAACAATGGAGGATCCACCGGGACCCCCTTGATGCCACACCACGACAGGGTCTTTCGAAGGCTCGTTCTGGGAGCTGTGCAACTGGTAGTGGATCTTCAGAGAATCGTAGCCGTTCAATGGTCCTGGAACGTCGAGCAGACCACTGTAGACCTTGAAAGTCGTCTTAGGAAAGCCTGGCAGCTGGTCAACCAGGTCCTGTAGCGGAGCTGGCGCCGCCAGGGGCAATGCGATGACAGTCAAGATCGTCCTCATGCGCAAAGAAGCGGAATGAGGCTAATGAGACTGATTCTGATTGGAGCAGCTTGAGCCAAGACAACGATGGAGCGGGTGCGAGACCGTCCAATACTGCAACGCAGGAACTGGCCATCTCTTGGACATCCATTATCCATTTATTTTTCGGCCTCGGGCGCTTATCTTTCGCAAGATGATCCAGGATGCTCCTCGATGGTCCATGCCGAGAAAAAATCACACGTCAGGGCGATGTCAAGGGAAAGCTCAGCGAGTGTTTATCAATGCGGTGCGAACACATGTCCGAAGAAATCCCAACACATGTTCCTAGCCCTGGCCCTGGGCCAACGACGCATGATTGTCCTGCAGCACCCCGCACCCCCCCGGAAACGCACGAACAAGCATGGGAAACCTCACGGGCGCGTCACCAACGCGCAAAAACGCTTTCCCTGAGTGGAAGCGAAAAAGGAAAACTGGCCGTAAGTCGGGCGTGTCCCCCCCCCCTACAGGGGGACCTTCGACGAAAAATAGAAGACACCCAATTAGCCTGGCGAAGGACCCAACCATATGCAGTTGTGAATGCCGCAATTGTGCTGGGCGGTGGCGGACGCATGCGGGCGGTGCCACTGGGACCTTCGGTGGAGCTCCCTATGGGGCCACGAAACGCTGTACTGGGTGGGTGAGACGCGGTCAGCAAGGGCTGTGCTGCGTGGTGGCGGACGCATGCGAGCGGTGCCACTGGGACCTTCGGTGGAGCTCCCTATGGGGCCACGAAACGCTGTACTGGGTGGGTGAAACGCAGGCAGGGAGCAAGGGCTGTGCAGGGTGGTGGCGGACGCATGCGGGCGGTGCCGCTGGGACCTTTGGTGGAGCTCCCTATAGGGCTACGAAGCGCTGTTCTGGGTGGGTGAAGCGCAGGGAACAAGGGCTGTGCTGGGTGGTGGCGGACGCAAGCGGGCAGTGCCACTGGGACCTTTTGGTGGAGCCCCCTATGGGGCCACGACACGTGCGAGGGGTGTGCCAGGATGGGGTGTGGAACCGCATGCCAGCGCAGCCACTGGGGCCTTCGGTGGAGCTCCCTATGGAGCCACGAAACGTGTGAAGGGTGTGCCGAAATGTGGGGCGGAACCGCATGCGAGCGCAGCCACTGCGGCGTTCGGTGGAGCTCCCTATGGGGCCACGAGACGTGTGAAGGGCGTGCCGAAAAAGGGGGCGGAACCGCATGCGAGCGCAGCCACTGGAGCCTTCGGTGGAGCTCTCTATGGGGCCACGAACCGTGTGAGGGGTGCGCCGAAATGAGGGGGGTGAACCACATGCGAGCGCAGCCACTGGGGCCTTCGGTGGAGCTCCCTATGGGGCCACGAAACGTGTGAGGGGTGTGCCAGAATGGGGGGTGGAAGCGCATGCGGGCGCAGCCACTGGGGCGTTCGGTGGAGCTCCCCATGGAGCCACCCACGAAGCGTGTGAGAGGGTGTGCCGAAATGGGGGGTGGGACCGCATGCGAGCGCAGCCACTGGAGCGTTCGGTGGAGCTCCCTATGGGGCCACGAAACGTGAGAGAGGTGTGCCAGAATGGGGGGTGGAACCGCATGCGGGCGCAGCCACTGGGGCCTTCGGTGGAGCTCCCTATGGGGCCACGAAACGTGTGAGGGGTGTGCCAGAATGGGGGGTGGAACCGCATGCGGGCGCAGCCACTGGGGCCTTCGGTGGAGCTCCCTATGGGGCCACGAAACGTGTGAGGGGTGTGCCAGAATGGGGGGTGGAACCGCATGCGGGCGCAGCCACTGGGGCCTTCGGTGGAGCTCCCTATGGGGCCACGAAACGTGTGAGGGGTGTGCCAGAATGGGGGGTGGAACCGCATGCGGGCGCAGCCACTGGGGCCTTCGGTGGAGCTCCCTATGGGGCCACGAAACGTGTGAGGGGTGTGCCAGAATGGGGGGTGGAACCGCATGCGGGCGCAGCCACTGGGGCCTTCGGTGGAGCTCCCTATGGGGCCACGAAACGTGTGAGGGGTGTGCCAGAATGGGGGGTGGAACCGCATGCGGGCGCAGCCACTGGGGCCTTCGGTGGAGCTCCCTATGGGGCCACGAAACGTGTGAGGGGTGTGCCAGAATGGGGGGTGGAACCGCATGCGGGCGCAGCCACTGGGGCCTTCGGTGGAGCTCCCTATGGGGCCACGAAACGTGTGAGGGGTGTGCCAGAATGGGGGGTGGAACCGCATGCGGGCGCAGCCACTGGGGCCTTCGGTGGAGCTCCCTATGGGGCCACGAAACGTGTGAGGGGTGTGCCAGAATGGGGGGTGGAACCGCATGCGGGCGCAGCCACTGGGGCCTTCGGTGGAGCTCCCTATGGGGCCACGAAACGTGTGAGGGGTGTGCCAGAATGGGGGGTGGAACCGCATGCGGGCGCAGCCACTGGGGCCTTCGGTGGAGCTCCCTATGGGGCCACGAAACGTGTGAGGGGTGTGCCAGAATGGGGGGTGGAACCGCATGCGGGCGCAGCCACTGGGGCCTTCGGTGGAGCTCCCTATGGGGCCACGAAACGTGTGAGGGGTGTGCCAGAATGGGGGGTGGAACCGCATGCGGGCGCAGCCACTGGGGCCTTCGGTGGAGCTCCCTATGGGGCCACGAAACGTGTGAGGGGTGTGCCAGAATGGGGGGTGGAACCGCATGCGGGCGCAGCCACTGGGGCCTTCGGTGGAGCTCCCTATGGGGCCACGAAACGTGTGAGGGGTGTGCCAGAATGGGTGTGGGAGGGGGAGGAGGGGGGAGGAAGGGGAGGAGGAGGAAGGAGGAGGAAGGAGGAACGCGGGGCGACGTCTCTTCAAAACGAGGACCCAACACCACAGGATGGTTAGGAAAAATACTCCCAAATTGTCGACAAGTACTCAAAAAATAATCCCCAGGCTATTTTTCTACTATTTTTGAATATTCCTCCTGTAGAGGAACGGGCCCGACTTAAAACTGGCTCAGGGGGAAAGCATCGAAATGGAACCGGCGATGCAGTCTCTTGGCCGGCCCCTGGGCAGCCTCGCGCCCCAGCGGCAGGCCCGTCGCGGAGGGCCCTCCAGACGCCCACGAGACGCCCACAAAAATAAATTATCCCGGCAAAGCAACCTAACAGCGATGTGTAGAAGCATATCTGGAAGCATTGCCCTTGAGATTCATGTAGGAGTCCTGGTGTAGAATTCTGGTGTCCTCGCAGTCGCTCGTCCTCCTGCTCGTCCTCGCATGTAGGAGTCCTCGTCCTCCTCCTCCTGCTCGTCCTCCTTCTCCTGCTCCTCCTCCTCCTCCTCCTCGTGCTCGTCCTCGTCCTCCTCGTCTTGCTCATCCTCCTCCTCCTCCTCGTGCTCTTGCCATGCTCCTCCTACAGTTGCCTCCGGGCATTGAAAATGTAACCCGGGAGTAAAGTTCTGGGAACTCGAAGAGCACGAAGTGGCCTACTGTTGGCTCCGGGCATTCAAAATGTGGCCCAGGAATGGAGTTCTGGGAACTCGAAGAGCACGAAGTGGCCTACAGTTGGCTCTGGGCATTCAAAATGTGGCCCGGGAATGGAGTTCTGGGAACTCGAAGAGCACGAAGTGGCCTACAGCTGGCTCCGGGCATTCAAAATGTGGCCCGGGAATGAAGTTTTGGGAACTCGAAGAGCACGAAGTGGCTTACAGCTGGCTGCGGGCATTCAGAATGTGGCCCGGGAATGGAGTTCTGGGACCCCGAAGACCACGAAGTGCGCAACTGATTGTTTAAAACGACTTCCGCGGATTCTCCCCGGATCCTGCCCGGACCCCCCTGGGGAGTCATGATGCTTTCTTTTGAAACCATTAGAAACCTATCAGTCTTCGCTGTTAGGTGAAAACAGCAAAAACAAAGGAACATCAACATCAACAACAACAACAACAACAACAACAACAACAACAACAACAACAACAACAACAACAACAACAACAACAACAACAACAACAACAACAATTACTAGCACGTGGGGACACTCCGTTCTCACCAGTGCCAGGGTTTTCATAGGAGGCGGGCAATACCCCCACTTTGTGGGGGGGCCGGTTCAAGCTCTACCAAATTTCCAAACGACTCTTCGCCACCACCCACACCCAGCTTCCCGCCCTATGACGTTCGGACACTTCACTTCGTGGCATGCGGACGACCGTGGCTACTATTCAGGGCCCCGCGGCCGACGACGACGGCGTGCGCGCGCGAAGAAAAAACGAATGTGTCCCGCATGGTATTATTTGACAGGGATGATGGCCCTGGCAGGTGCGCAACCGTTGTTGCAGAAGTTCGAAAAAGTTGCTCGCAAAAGCCAACAACAACAACAACAACAGCAACAACAACAACGACAACGACAACAACAACAACAACAACAACAACAACAATAATAATAATAATACTAATAATAATAATAATAATAATAATAATACTAATAATAATCTTAAGACCGCTCGCCTTTATATGCTCGAGTGTCCAATAACGCGTATTTCCCAAACCCTCGATACCCGCCCTCTTCGTCTTCGATCGAACCCCTTTTGGGGAGTATACCTTTCTTCCCTGCAGGCCGGGCCACGGCAAGCGGCGGGGCGGCCGCGGACCGTCGGCATGGCCAGCGGCAGCGCTGATCGGCGGGGCGGCCGCGGACCGTCGCCCCGACCCCAAGAGGGACGGACAGGGGACCGACCACGACGACGACGACGACGACGACGACGACGACGACGACGACGACGACGTCGAAGACGACGGCGACGACGACGACGACGGCGACGACGAGCGAAAGCGAGAGCGAGAGAGAACGACAGCAGGGCTACGAAGGGCACGAAGTAGGCCACGAAGGGCGACAGCGGGGACACGAAGGGAATGCGTATGGGGCCACGAAGAGCGCGAACGAGCGGGGGCCACGAAGTGCAGATAATGCGGGGCCACAGAAGGAAACTATTGGGCCACTGAGGGTAGCAACTGGGCCACGTAGGACAGTGAGGGGGACACACATGGCGACAGCGGGGCCACGAAGGGCATGCACATG